CTGTACGGCCTCCCATTGCTGCATGTCTCCATCGCCACACTCTGCCATGTGCCACTTTCAGGTCTCCTCACACACTGCTGGTGTTGAATTTTTTGACATAGGGTGCTGGCAGATTACGGGCCTCCATAGCTGCTGCCAGGCCCCTAATCTGCCATGGGGCCCCTATATACCGCCTCCTCATGCTGCTGCCAAGTCCAGAGTCTCTCATGGGTCCCTGTACGGCCTCCCATTGCTGCTGTCTCCATCGCGACACTCTGCCATGTGCCACTTTCAGGTCTCCTCACACACTGCTGGTGTGTTCCAATTTTTTGACATAGGGTGCTGGCAGATTACGGGCCTCCCATAGCTGCTGCCAGGCCCCTAATCTGCCATGGGCCCCTATATACCGCCTCCTCATGCTGCCCTGCCAGGTCCAGAGTCTCTCATGGGTCCCTGTACGGCCTCCCATTGCTGCTGTCTCCATCGCCACACTCTGCCATGTGCCACTTTCAGGTCTCCTCACACACTGCTGGTGTGTTCCAGAATTTTTTGACATAGGGTGCTGGCAGATTACGGGCCTCCCATAGCTGCTGCCAGGCCCCTAATCTGCCATGGGCCCCTATATACCGCCTCCTCATTTGCTGCCAGGCCAGAGTGTCTCATGCCATGGGTCTCACTTTCAGAGTCTCCTCACACTCCTCACACTGGTGTGTTCAATTTTTTGACATAGGGTGCTGGCAGATTACGGGCCTCCTATAGCTGCTGCCAGGCCCCTAATCTGCCATGGGCCCCTGTACCGCCTCCTCATGCTGCTGCCAGGTCCACAGTGTCTCATGCCATGTGCCTTTCAGCCATGTCCTCCTCACACTGCTGGTGTGTTCAATTTTTTTTGACATAGGGTGCTGGCAGATTACGGGCCTCCCATAGCTGCTGCCAGGCCCCTAATCTGCCATGGGCCCCTATATACCGCCTCCTCATGCTGCTGCCAGGTCCAGAGTCTCTCATGGGTCCCTGTACGGCCTCCCATTGCTGCTGTCTCCATCGCCACACTCTGCCATGTGCCACTTTCAGGTCTCCTCACACACTGCTGGTGTGTGAATTTTTTGTCATAGGGTGCTGGCAGATTACGGGCCTAAGCCCTATAGCTGCTGCCAGGCCCCTAATCTGGCCCCATGGGCCCCCATGCTGCTGCCCGTCCAGAGTCCTCATGTCCCCTACGGCTGCCAGGTCCACATTGCTGCTGTCTCCATGCCACACTCTGCCATGTGCCACTTTCAGGTCTCCTCACACTGCTGGTGTGTTCCAATTTTTTGACATAGGGTGCTGGCAGATTACGGGCCTCCCATAGCTGCTCCAGGCCCCTAATCTGCCATGGGCCCCTGTACCGCCTCCTCATGCTGCTGCCAGGTCCACAGTGTCTCATGCCACACTCCATGTGCCACTTTCAGGTCTCCTCACACTGCTGGTGTGTTCAATTTTTTTGACATAGGGTGCTGGCAGATTACGGGCCTCCCATAGCTGCTGCCAGGCCCCTAATCTGCCATGGGCCCCTATACCGCCTCCTCATGCTGCTGCCAAGTCCAGAGTCTGTCATGGGTCCCTGTACGGCCTCCCATTGCTGCTGTCTCCATCGCCACACACTCTGCCATGTGCCACTTTCAGGTCTCCTCACACTGCTGGTGTGTTCAATTTTTTGACATAGGGTGCTGGCAGATTACGGGCCTCCCATAGCTGCTGCCAGGCCCCTAATCTGCCATGGGCCCCTATATACCGCCTCCTCATGCTGCTGCCAGGTCCACAGTGTCTCATGCCATGTGCCACTTTCAGGTCTCCTCACACTGCTGGTGTGTTCAATTTTTGAATTTTTTACATAGGGTGCTGGCAGATTACGGGCCCCCTATAGCTGCTGCCAGGCCCCTAATCTGCCATGGGCCCCTATACCGCCTCCTCATGCTGCTGCCAGGTCCAGAGTCTCTCATGGGTCCCTGTACGGCCTCCCATTGCTGCTGTCTCCATCGCCACACTCTGCCATGTGCCACTTTCAGGTCTCCTCACACACTGCTGGTGTGTTGAATTTTTTGACATAGGGTGCTGGCAGATTACGGGCCTCCCATTGCTGCTGCCAGGCCCGTAATCTGCCATGGGCCCCCGTACCGACTCCTCATGCTGTGACTTGCAACAAGGTGGAATTCAACCCTACATATGTTAGACCGCCTTTACGAACAGCAAAAGGCCATCACAGATTTCCTGATGTTAAAAGCGGATAAAGGTACTCCCTGTGTAACTTAGATGTCAGCCATTGGCAGCTCATGCGTGACACCTGCGCTTGCTCAGGCCCTTTGAGGAGGCCACGCTATTCGTGAGTCGGCAGGACTATGGGATGAACGACGTCATTCCTCTGTTGCACGTCCTGGAACAAATGCTGTTAACAATGGCTGGTCAGGGTGCGGTAGACGTGGCGCACAGATCTCAACGCCACATGACCCCTGTGGGGGCAGGACAGGAAGAAGAGGAGGAGGTAGAGGAGGACATTGGTGCTCAGGAATTATTGAGTGAAATGGGTGGTTTTTCCACTCAGCGGACAGGAGTGGAGGAGCAGGAGCATCTGGTAGAGGAGGAGGAAGAGGAGACAGAGGACCCAGACGCACCGTGGCAGTATGCTGTGGAGATGGAGGCAGGGAGTCCCTCGCATTCCTTGGCACAAATGGCCCATAGCATGCTCGGTTGCTTGCGTAGCGACAGCCGAATAATAACCATCAGACAGAGGGATGACTTTTGGCTGTCCACCTTGTTGGACCCTCGCTACCGTTCAAAAATGGTGGCCTTTTTCACACCTGCTGAGAGGGAGGCCAAAATAACGTACTATAAAAAACACCTATGTAGTCAGCTGGTCTCTGCCTGTCTGCGCCAACGTCCATCCTCAGACACTGTGGGCCCTGTGCGCTCGCGTTCCGCTGCCATGGCAGCAGGGGAGGGGTGGGGTGGTAGGAGCAGTGGCAGCTCCACCAGCAGCAGCTGCCTCAGTCTGCAGTCGATGATGAGTAGCTTTCTTCACCAGCGCAGTGAGGAAACTACTAACCAGCGCAGCAGCAGCAGCAGCAGCATCAGGTGGACCTGGAGCAGGACCTCAAACAACAGGCTTAGGCCTACTTGGACAGCACCCTGCCAACCGAGGTAGACAATCCCCTTGACTACTGGGCAACGAAACTTGACCTTTGGCCCCAACTAGCTGAATTTGCCCTTGAAAGGCTGTCATGCCCGGCCAGTAGCGTGGCATCGGAGCGCGTGTTTAGTGCGGCAGGAGGTATTGCAACTCCGCGGAGGACACGACTGTCCACCCAAAGTGTGGAGAGACTCACGTTTGTGAAAATGAATCAGGCGTGGATTAGTCTGGATTTCAAACCACCAGTTCCTGACACAACTGACTAAATCCGCCATGAATCATGCCCCAAACATGTGCCACTTTCAGGTCTCCTCACACTGCTGGTGTGTTCCATTTTTTGTCATAGGGTGCTGGCAGATTACGGGCCTCCCATAGCTGCTGCCAGGCCCCTATCTCTGCCATGGGCCCCTATACCGCCTCCTCATGCTGCTGCCAAGTCCAGAGTCTCTCATGGGTCCCTGTACGGCCTCCCATTGCTGCTGTCTCCATCGCCACACTCTGCCATGTGCCACTTTCAGGTCTCCTCACACTGCTGGTGGGTTCCATTTTTTGTCATAGGGTGCTGGCAGATTACGGGCCTCCCATAGCTGCTGCCAGGCCCCTAATCTGCCATGGGCCCCCGTACCGACTCCTCATGCTGCTGCCAGGCCCGTAATCTGTCATGGGCCCCTGTTGTCGCTTGTTGGCATATTCCGCTCGTTCAGATGCTCCTTCTCCTGCTACTCTCTTCACGGATTCCGTCACAGTCTTTCTTGGAATCCTTTCCAAGAGGACAACAGTTTGCGAGCACGCACCCGACGGTGCAGAAGCTGAACGTCCTCCTGTCCAATTGCTGCTGCCAGGCTCGTAATCTGTCATGGGCCCCTGTACCGCCTCCTCATGCTGCTGCCAGGTCCAGAGTGTGTCATGGGTCCCTGTACGGCCTCCCATTGCTGCTGCCAGGCCCGTAATCTGCCATGGGCCCCCGTACCAACTCCTCATGCTGCTGCCAGGCCCGTAATCTGTCATGGGCCCCTGTACCGCCTCCTCATGCTGCTGCCAGGTCCAGAGTGTGTCATGGGTCCCTGTACGGCCTCCCATTGCTGCTGTCTCCATCGCCACACTCTGCCATGTGCCACTTTCAGGTCTCCTCACACTGCTGGTGGTTTCCATTTTTGTCATAGGGTGCTGTATGGCCTCCCATTGCTGCTGCCTCCACCGCCACACTGTGGCTCCACACTCTGGTTTTGGCCCCGTGACTGCCCAAATGAGTGAAGTGTGCGGTGATTCTAAGATCGACGGCACTCATCTGCATGTCATACTGACTGTCAGTATTATTTCTCTTCCCCAGCAGACTCCCAAGGGCATTTAAATTAAAGGTACAGTGTTCTGCACTAATATAAAGTCTCTCTGAAGCCTAGAAAACACCCTTTTTATAAGTTAAATTTGCAGCGAATATATTCGACTCGAATCGAAATTTTTCCACGAATTTGCCGAATCAGTCGAATCGAATTTTTGAATAGTGCTTGCTGACTCTTACTCCGTTAGACTCAGGAAAAACTTGGACAGATGGGTGATCCTCATTCAGGCCTCGGTGTGGGCTAGGTATCAGTCTTCGCGATTTGGGCCCTTCGGCAGGGGAATTGTCGCCCTGGCCCGCTCTATAGGTTATAGAGCGGGGAGTGCGGTGCATCTCCGGGAGTGTTCCACAGGTGTTTTCCAAGGTACCCTCAGGCTATTGATAGTGACACAGTTCTGGGTATTATAAAAGCCTATGGCCCGAAAGAAATAGCTCGGTGGCAGGCAAAAGGGAGGTCACGTAGGCATTTTTACCCCCATGGGCTCGCGTAGTTGTCCCCCACGGGGAAGGTGTTCACAGAAAGGATCAACATGAGTCGCCACAGCCAGTTAGTACAATCTGTTAGCTGATTCTGATACCCAGGCCGTGTCTCTGCAGGTGAGTGAGCGTTTGGCTATATATCTCTCCAGGCTACCCCTGAATGTTATCCGCTGATGGGTAAGAGAGGGCCATTAGGAAGAATTCCCTTTCTATCCTCCAACTCTGTTCCTGCAGCAAGTCAGTATCACATCGTATCATAAATTGAGATCTGCAGGGATATGGTTTGTAATCTACAGGGGCCACCTAGGAGGATCAGGGGGGAACCACACCCAGCCCGTCCCCCCATCTGCACTGTATCCAGAACTCGTATGCAGTAGGTTGAAGTGCGCAGCGATTCCGGCGCTACGGCGGCGGACCGCTCCGGCCGCGGATTCAGGGAAGAAAGAACCGCGGCTTCACACGCCACGCTGGTAGGCATCAAAACCGACGCCCGCGCCCAATTGCACACAGAAGGGGGGGGGAGCAGAGTTGCTCGACACCTCTCCTCGGATGTCAGAGAAAGGTCGGGCAGCCGGGGATTGTTGAGGAGTGGCCCAGCACCCAGATGGCCGCGGATGGTTGGATAGGGTGCCGGAGCTCAGGAGGGAGAGTCTGCACGGCGCATCTTGGACACGCCCAGAAAGTGCTTGTTTTCATTCATTTTTCTGTATGTTTTTCCCTGCCTTGAAGTCTAAAAAGGGGGCCAAAAATGCCCTTTAAATTTTTAGCACAAAAAGGAGTGTAAGTTTTCAGCTAGAAAAGGGAGGAAAGGGCCTCTAAGTGCGTTTGGGCCAATTTTTCAGTAAAAAATGGAAAAAATTTTTACTTAAAAGATTTAAAAGGTTTTTAAAAGGGTCATTGTGTGGTAATTGGATCCTGGGGGGTCATCCGCCGTCCCGCAGAAGCTATGCCTATAGGATCGGAAAATAGAGAAAGGGGTGCCCGTGCAAACAAAAATTTAAAACTTGGAGAGCAGTCAGATTAGAGGTGGGGGGGGCGGGGTTTAAGCAAATTTTGGGGCCTTGGTCCCAAAAGGGTCAGAGGTTGAAGGGAAGGGGCCCATTTAGCATGTCCCCAAAAAACCCTTTATCACCCGTGGGTTGTGTTTCAAAGGGGGGGATGGGCCGTGTCTTTGTCGTGTTTTTAGTTTTTCAGAAAGGGCCCGATTTCGTTTCCCGTTTTAAGTCGCGGGTTGCCGGGCCCTTACTAGTATAAAAAAAAATTTAATCCAGCCCTATAGACAGCCTTTAATTAATTTGCATGTATTGGGATTTTTTTTTTTGCATAGGGGGTGTGAGAAACCCTTTAGGCCTAAATCTGAAATTTTTTCATTTTTTTAGGGGTTGTTTTATAGCCAAAAAAGTCAAAAAAAATTTTTTTTCTTTTCAAAAAATGTTCCCGTTTTTTTTGTTTTAGGGAAAAAAAAAAAAAAACCGGTTTGAGGCAAACAAATTAAAACCAAAAAGAGAGCTTATTTGTGGGGGAAAAAAGGGGGTTTAAAATTTTAATTGGGTGAAAATTGCACGACTGCACAATTTTCGTTAAAAGGGGGAAAGCCCGTGCCAAAATCGCAAAAAAAAAGTTGGTCAGGAAAATGGGGGGGAAATCCCTGGAGGTTGGAGGGTGGAGTGGTTTAAACCCAAAAATTATAAATCTAGCACGAGTGGAGGGTGCTACACAGATGAAGGGTTTCTTTTAATGCAAGTTAATTGAGGCACAATCTGCAAAATATTGTGAATGGACCCTTAACCCCTTTGGCCGGGGTTGCCTCCCGAACCTTTAAGGTTTCTGAAGCCGGGGGGGGGTTGGGGTTTTATCGTGACCCAGATTCCCATCACGGCTCCTGTCAAAAAAAGGCCCCGTGCAAGGGGAGTTGGGGTTTTCCCGTGAGTCAGGGCATTTGCTCGGAGAGAGAGGGCAGTTTCCCACACATATTTATTTTCAAATTTGCACGCAAAATCGGCCGTCGGCGTAAAGGTAGACACCCTTTGGGCGTCTAGGGGTTAATGTATCAGTGACCAGAGATACATAGGCCGATTTACTTTTTAAAAACTCCTTAGGGTTTTATTCCGGTGTATGGGGGGTAAATTTGAGCCCCCAAAAGGGGGGTAACCCCGACTACACTCGGGTTACCATGCAGCATTGCTCGGGGAGTCCCTGCAGCATTTCCCTTGTCCTTCGCTCCCCGATGTTTCCCCTGCAGCTCCCGGCCATCTCCTCGGCCCGATCCCCGGCATTGCTTCCGTGTTCCAGTCCCTGTGACGTGGGACGGTGGCAAATTTGAAATTTTTTAAAAATGAATTTTTTTTAAAAAGATTTTTACATAGTAAACATTGGGTTTCAATGCATTTTTACATACTTTTTGTCCCTGGTGCTTTGTCCCCGTGCCCTGTCTGCTTTTTTTCTGTTCTTTTGCCTCGAAATTTTGAAAAGTATGGGTCCAAAAAGCATCCCTTTCTTCAAAGCAGTTTTTTTACCGCTAAGAACAGCGAAGTAAGTCAAACCCTTGCGAAATTTAGTGAAATGATTCGTGGGGAAATTCGTCATCAGACACCCAAAACGATTTTGCAACTTTGCTCAGCGATGTGCGAATTTGCCTCTGTATTTCAAATTTCATGTTTTTGGGTTTTTATTTATTTTTGAATTAAATTTATTTTTTTTTATATTATTTTTTTTTATGATCATTTTTTTTAAATTAAATTTTGATTTTGTGTTTCAAATTTTTTTCCTACCCTGGGATGTTTACTGACTCTTGTTTGTGTTTTCGGGGTTTTTCCAAAAAATTCGCCCCAAAAAAATTCCATTTTTCCAAGCAAAAAAAAGGACCCCCTTTTCAGCCAAAAAAACGGAAAAAACAGACGCCAAGGGGTTAAACACTCTATTGCAGTATTTTTACTGATT